CACTAGTATAAAAAAAGACTATAATTATTAAAGCAGCACTAAATAAAGGTTTAAAAACTAGGAAGGAAATTATTATAATAAATTAATAAATTAAAATATAATAATACTACGGGAAAGGAACTAATTTACATGGTAAATTATTATTTTTATTAAGGGGGGCACTAACCTATAAAGTAAAGTTAAATATAAATATAATAATATTCACGGGGTTAACTACCTGTGTATTATTAATTATAATAGTTTACTTAATAACTACTTTAAATACTTAATAAGCCGCCCTTAAAATAGTAAGGTTTTTATAAGCTTATGGATTACTAGCTCCTATATACATGGTATTAATAATATTAAAAATATTTTATAATTAATTACTTACTAGGGTAATATTAATAGCTATATACTTTAAAAGCACCTTTTTTATATTATAATAAAACTAGTACTTCCCACCCCCTTAATTATAGGTAAGGGCTTTTATTATAATATTTATAATAAATATATTTTTATTTTAGTACCCCGCGGTAGCAACACACATAATATACTATAAAATATAAAAATTAAGTAGTAAAGCTATAAAGCCCGGGGGTGGTAAAAAAAAATATTAATAAAAGCCTTAATAACAAGGGCGGTAAAAATAATAATAAGGGTAATAATAATAATAATAGTAGCAAGGGCGCGCGAGTATTAAAATTAAGTTATTTTAATAACTAGTATATTAATAATTATTAATATGCAAGTAAAGGGCAGGGAAATATAATTCTATATATTAAAAGTAAAATAAAAAGTAAAGGCTAAAACCAAGGCTTAATTATTATAATAAAAAAATATAAAATAAAACACTATAATAAAATAAATAACTACTAATAATAATATTTAAAGCGTAATATAAAATTATATTAAATATTAAAGTAAAAAAAATATAAAGCAAAGGGCAAGTATAAAAAACCTTAAAAAAAAATAAGGTTAAAAACACGCGGTATAACAAAGGCTATAATAAAAATAAACCATGTTTAATTTAACCATTAAAAATAGTTTTAAAAATATAAAAATAATAAGAGCTAAATATAAAAAGCTTATTAGCTAAATTAAAAAGGTAAGTACGCAGTAAGATATAAAAAAAAGGTAAATAAAAAGCTAATATAGTAATATATTAATAATTAAAATAAAATAACTACATATTATAAATAGCTACTAAAGGTATTAAAAAAAGTATAAAAATAAGAAAATTTAGCTATTTAAAACTTAAAGCTTTATTATAAAAATTAAGCGCGGAGTAAAATAAAATATACAGGCTAAATAATATTAATATAAAACTAATATTATTAAAATAAATAATATAATACTTAAAAAGCATAAAAAAGGGTAAATATAAGGTATTTTAACCCTAAAAATATAATTAAATAATTAAAAAGTAATAAAAACATAATAAAAAGGTATATACTCATGGTAGGTATTTTTAATTAAGTTATAAAAAAGACTTAAAAAAAGAAAAAAAAAAAAAATTATAAAGGCACTTTAATATTAAAACTAAAATATTACGCCTAGCCACCGCAGGTAATAATATTATATTTAAATTTAAAAGTAAAGTAAGGTAATTAAATTAATTTTTTACACCTAACTTTAAACATAAATTACACGTGAATTATAGCACTTTATAAACCTAAAAATAACTTATTTTATAGTGCTTAACAAGATCTATAATTTAAATTATGTTTTATAAAGTATAAATATAAATTTATAAATTGCAAGGGCGTGATTACTTAAAAAAAAAATATTATTATTATTATTATAATATTATAATTATATAATATTATAATAACATAATCCAGCGGCCTAAGGCCGCTGGGCGGAGGAACTTTAGTATTAAACTAGCCGCGTGCTAAGGCGGCGGCTAGTTATATAATATATAAAATATTAAGTTTAACTCCAAACTTTAACTTAAAAAAATTAGTAATTAGTTCCTACTATAAATACATGACGCCTTTCCTATTACAGTAATTCACGTTCTCCTAAGCTCACCGCAGTATACAAACGTGACTCACAATCCTGGTGCTTTATAATATTACTTTTAATATTAAAAAAAAACTTAAATAAATTATAGCGTGTTATATTACTTTTATTATATTAATATAAGGGGTACTAAGCCTATAATAATATAATACCTTACCTAAGTACTTAATTATAAACTTAATAGCCTTTTTTATTTATAATATAAAAATAGCACTTTTATAAAACCAGAAGGTTATTATAATTATTATAAATATTTTAAGTACTTTTAATATTATTTTATTATAATACCTATTTTAATAAATAATAAAGCAAGGCTAGTCTTATACACTTTTAGCCTTAATTATAAGTTTTTTTAATAAGTAAAGCATAAAAATATACCTAAAAATTTATTATAATAATAATATACCTAGTATGCTATAATATATTATAAGGCTTATTTTTATTTTTAGTATTATTTTTATTATATATAATAAAATTACTACTAGCAAACCTAATCCTATATTTTAATTATATAAATAACTTTTGCCTTAGCTATGTAAGTAATTTTTTTTATATAAATTATAAATTTTTAGTAAAAAATATTTATGGCATGCTAGCCTAGGAAAAATAAAATAAAGTAGTTTTTATACTTAAAAAACTAAAAATATTATATATTATTTAAAAATAATATAATAAATCTTTTTTACTAGTAATTAATAACTAGCTAATAATTACTTTAATTATTATAATACTAGGTTAAAAGTAACTAGTACTATGCTAACTAAAAGTTTTTTTTAATAAGCATCTTTTTTAATATTATTATATTACTAAGCAAGCGGCTAAAGCCTGTATAATAGTATAATATATTTATAATTTTATATATATAATATATAGTTTGCTAATAAACTTTTTTTATAAGGTAGTTATTACTTATATTATTTTTAGTTTTTTTATATAATATAAAGGCATGGTATAATAATAAAACCAAGCCTAAAAAGTATATATAAAACCTAAAGGTTAGTACTTAACTAAGCTAGTATATTAAAATAATTAAAAAAACCCTAGCTTTAGCTGCTCGCGGCATGCTTTTAATTTTTTAAATAATATTTATAATAACTTTTTTTAAAAATACTAGGCTTTTTTTTATTATAATAATATTAAAAAAAATATAATTATAATTTACCCTAAGGCTTTAACTAGTAAATTACTAAAACTTACTAGTAATATAAATAATATTATTAAAAATCTTGCACGGCTAGGGCGCTAGTTTATATTAAAAACTTAAAATAAAAATATAAATAATAAAAGTACTTTTTTTAAAAACTTTTAAACTAGTTTTAGCGCACCCTTATTACTTTTAAAAATACTTTAAAAACCTTACTAATAATAAAGCCAAGAAGCTAGTTATAAAAAAGTTTAAATAATAATAATAAGTATTATTAATAATAAAGGTAATAATTTTTAATAATAGCTTTAAATAAATATACTAAAAAGTTTATTATATAAGCTATAGCTTTATAATATATTATAAATAATATTTTTAGGCGCAGGGATAATTAGTAATTAATACTTAATTTTATATATATAATATTAAAGCTATTAACATACTTTAAAAACTAAAAATAATAATTAAAAAGCTTTTTAAAGCACCATGTTACTAGCTTTATATTAATAATATTTTAATAATTTAGTACACGCGCGGGTAGCTTTTATTATTTTTAAATTAAGCTTTTTAAATATTATACTAACTTATAAATTAATATATAATTTATTTATAATAATCCCCTAGTTATATAAATATTAAAAAAAATAAGCTAGCTAATAAGCTAGTTAATAAAGTAGCTTTTATAAAGGTATAATTCTTAAATATTAACTTTTTAAAGGCTTAGCCTATTATAAGTAAAATATATAGCTTATATAAGTAAATATATTATATAACTTAAGCTAAGTAATAAAAAGGTATATTTATAAAATTATTTACTTAATATAAATAATAACTTATTATAAAGTTAAAGCCTTACTAGGTTAAATTATAATTTAAGCTTATATTAAAGTACCTAATTTTATATTATTAATTAATATTAAAATTATTATATAGTAATTTTAAATAATATTATAAATATTTTTAATATAAAAATATAAAGCTTATTTACTTTTATAAAATAAGTAAAAGCCTTAAATACCTAGTTTTTTACTAATATATTAAAAAATATTTTTTTAATAATTATAGCACCTAATAACACCCTTAATAAATAAGGCTAAAGCCTTAAAGTACCTTCACGGGCTAAAGCCTAAAAACTTTATATTTTTATTTAAAATTATAAACTTTTATTAATTTATTTACTTTTATTAAAAATTTTAGCCCTTAGCCTTTTAAAAATACCTAGGCCTAGTATTTAGTAGCCTTTTAACCTTTTTTTTTATTTTATTATATTTTTTTTTATTTTAAACACCTTTTTTTTATATAATTAACTTTAAATATATATATTTTTTTTATAAAGGGGCAGGCCCCTATATTTTATAATATTTAAAATATTAAGTATATAATAAATAACACCTGCTAATAATTATATATAAAAATAATAAGTAAAAAATAGGTATATTATTTATAAGTTTTAATAAAAATTACCCTTAAAAATAAAAAGCCTTCCTATATATAAACTTGCTTAAATAAAACTTATTTAAATAAGTTACTTATTTTATAATAGCACGCCCCCATACCCCAAGGAAGGTCTAGAACATTAGGCGTACGCCTATTAATCCCCGGGGCGTTAAATATCACTACTACTACTACTACTCAACCACGTCCATCTGGGCCCGAACAATGACACCGCAATTGCAGGGGGTGGCGTGATTCAGTATGAAGTCGTCCAGGCTCTGTATCCACATGGGAAACAAGCTGGTATGGGACTCCCCGTTGCCCTCTAACTCTATCTCAATCCCGCACCGGAAGCCAAGAACGCTCAACTAACAAACACGTTTCCCCAGTCCACGGTCTCGGCGAGTGCGTCTCCATCATGGGTCCCCTCCTGGGCGGCGGTCACAGCGTGCTCCAGGGTGCTCACGGCTTCGCTGCTGACAACTTGGTCTCGGCCAAGGTAGCTCTGCACGACGGATCTGTTGTGACTGCCTCGGCTACCGAGAACGAAGACCTGTTCTTGGGCCTCCGTGGTGCCGGCCACAACCTGGGTATTGTCCTCGAGGTCGAAATCAAGGCGTACGACATCCATCTCGACCCATGGACCTTTATGACCTTCGTCTACAACGCCGATAAAATAGAACAGTACTTTAAAGCATGGAATCACCTCGAGGACACCATCCCGGACCCCGGCCTGGTCGTCCTAAACGGCTACTACCGCAACCTGCCGCATCTCGACGCCGAGAAGGTACCAATATATCTCCTGTCCTGTCCAGCAGGCCACACCAGCAGCACTTGCTAACAACCATACCTAATCCCCAGCCCGTCCTCGTCATGGAACTCATCTACCAAGGCCACGACACCGCCGCACCCACGTACATCTCAGCGTACCGATCCATCGGCCCAATCCACGAGGAAACAATAACCAACATCCCCTGGAACACCCTCTTCGACACGACCAACTTCGGTCGCACCAACCGCGTCTGCACCCCCAGCCAAAACTGGGCCGGGTACGTCAACGCCATCGCGCACTGGGACGCCGCATCCATGCGCGAAAGCTACGATATCTTCGCGGACCTCGTTGCCATGCCAACCTACAATACTTCAACCTTTATCTTCGAGTCGTATGGACGTAAGGGTGTGCGCGATCTGCCTGATGAGTTTAATGCTGTCCCGCCGGAGGAGCGGAATAAATATATTATGCTTGCTGCGTTTTTGTTTTGGTTTGGTGATGATGAGACTGAGCTTGCTGTTGCGCGGGAGTTCGGGGAGAGGCTGCAGGTTGCTAGTCGGAATGGTGAGGCTGCGCACTCGTATGTTAACTATGCGATTGGGGGCGAGAAGCTGGCGCAGGTTTATGGGCGGGATGGTGGCCGGCTGGAGAAGCTTCAGGACATCAAGGCTAAGTATGATCCTCACAATAGATTTGGTTTCTATGCTTCGCTTGCACGGACTTGACGGCGGATATGAAATGACGGTGGTGGTCTGGGAGGAAAATGGCAAGAGTATGGTAGGGATATACATATCCAGACTAACCCCTTCTTCCTCGGCTCTGTCTAGTTGGACGGCACTTGAGGAATTCTGTTGAAAAATGTACCTCGCGTTAGTACCGGTCAGCGATAAATTGCCTGTTGGCGAGAGGGTTAGCATACTGGCCTACTAATACAGTCTATGAAATAATGTCACTTACTTAGATATAGATGTATATATAGTCTTATCTTTGATGCTCGCCCCCCATGGAGTAACAGAAGCTAAATGAAATATCTAGGGTTACTGGGCTTCAACCCTATCACCATTCATGGGATGTCCCGGGCTGAGATAATTGCTTTGTGACAATCGCCTACCGGCGGAGTACTTTGGAAAGAGTAACTGGAATTCCACTATCCTACAGGTCAAAAAGAGGAAAGCTCTACGCATACAAACCTTGGGAAGGTTGGCCAGAGGTCGATCCTTCCATAAATAGCTCTCGAGAGAAGGGACATTAGGTGAGACCAAAGTCTCCCTGGCCGGGACGAGTCGAACATGCGCAATTCAGGCCCTTTTTCAAGGGTTCACCACATGCGAAATGCACGATGGGAAGCAGGGTCCTGGTCGCGCAATATAATCCTGAAGAACAGCCGCACTCGAAGGTTCCCATCCCCGTATCCCCAGGATCTGACTCCAGGTTAGGTTTCAAACGGACCCGGAGCCAACGCCTTCTCATGTAGGCACGGGTGTGCACATGCACCCCCATAAGTCGGCGCCATGGACAGCCTTCCTCAATGCGCGGTACGTGGACCTGGACACGCCAATTTCTTGCCTCGCAAGCATTCTCATATCTTTCCCCATCGCAGCTCATATGTCTAATCGACCCTCTCAAGAAATCCACCCGCTCCCTTATAGACTTCGCCTGTATTTGCGCCGATCCAGAGCTCAATGCGCAGCTGACGCCATGTATGCTCGCAACCTGTACGGTTAAGGAGTCGTTGAGTTCGTTCATATCGTCCACTTCATCTAGAACATATCTCGCTGACCAGCCTACAGTCGCGCAAAACTACTCGTACTCGACGTGCTAGTATCCCACTGGCGAGAATACGTTGACGTTTCCGATCGTCAATATCGTTGGCATTGTCGTTGCGATTGTCTCGGTTGCCCTGAGAGTGACGTATCGCGTTTTGGCTGGACAGCTGAGCCTGGATGATTACACGATCGTTGCTGCACTGGTAAGTCGGTTTTACTGCACTAAGGTAGTGTCCGTGGTGCTAATGGGCCCCTTTCGTTATCTAGCTTGTTGCGGCGGCCATCTCGGGTGTTGGCTTTCCATGTACACACCTCCCTGTACACGGCTTTGGATTTGGAGGCTCACCAGACATAACACGGTCCACATGTTTTTGCCGAGGCCTTGAGATTTTACAAGCTCTTCTTCGTCGAGGAAGTCATGTACATCACCTGCACGGCTTTGATCAACATGTCGATGCTCTTCCTGCGACTCTTCCAAACGCCAAACCGCGAACAGCCATATCCGTCTCGCTGGCCATAACCGCTCTCTGGGTCATTAGGTCTTTCTTCGCGCGGGTCTTCCCATGCAAGCCGATAAGCTTCTACTGGAATCAGTGAGATGGTGAACATGAGGGACGATGCAGCAGTCATAATACGCTGATTCTTGCGCATTCAATGATTAACCTTCTTCTTGATGTTCTCGTGATCGTCCTCCCCATGCCGGTGCTGGTCAGACTGCAGATGAGTATCGAGAAGAGAGTCGGCATGTCTCTTATGTCCGCGGTGGGACTTGTGTACGTCCATTCCATCCCTATACAAATAAACGTTCACCGTAGTGATATTAGAGCTGACGAAGGCCGGTCCAGAGTTACAGTCATCAGTGTCCTCCGCCTCGTCGAGACAATGGGGTTTAACGACACGACAAACCCAACCAGTATGTTCTGTCCCCGGTCCACAGCTTTCTACCGCAAAGTTTATGCCGACGCAGTGGCTGCCCGGTATAGAGGACTTCGTCCCCGTCGGCGTCTGGAGCAAGGTTCTCTAAATCGACGTAGGAATTATGTGCTCCTGTATGCCCGGTATTCGCGCACTGTGCAAGCGTCTGTACACGGTTGTACGCAATCACCAATTATCCGCGGCATCCAGTAGCAGCTTAAGGCCCAGACACAATAAACCAGGAAGCGGTGGTTCGGCCTCCAGTTCCGGGCATCGAGCGCAGTATTGTGCGAAATCAAACACATCGGACTCAGTTTCACGCAGCGGTGGCCAGTTCATTCGCCTGCAGGAAGTTGAGAGTACAGACGGAGATGCAGATGGAGATACATGCTCTGAGAACCACCTATGGCCACTGAGTGAGTTCCCTGCAGTAACCGTGCCGCAAACAAACTCCGTTTCTGCGGCAAGCTTTGCTTCCACACAACAACCACTGCTCTACCGGGTCAAGCGCAGGCTGGGGGTCAAGGCCGTAAGCTACAAACCCCGCCTGAGTTCGCCTACAGCTCCAAGCCATCGCCCCTGTTGCCGGCAATGAGGGGTCCCTACGCGCATCACTTGTTCGTTCTGAAGAAGACCGGCCCATTTTACGTGGTTAAGGGACCGAGACTCGACGTATTCGTAGTCGTCATGCGCTTTGGTGGTAAGTTTACAGGAAAGGTATCAAGGAGGATTGTGCTTTTACGGGCTTGTTAAGTAAAAGATGAGAATTTTCTTTCTACCATAGATGTACATCACATTAGATTGCGTCAACTGTATCCCAACCAGGAAGAGTTCAGTTAACAGACAGCCCTATGGGTATTTTCTGGATTTGGATATGGTGCGGTATGTTCCAGCCACTGCGCAGCCAGGAACCTCACCACGACCATGAACAACAAGTAAGAAAGGAAAGAAAGACACGAGTGCTCACATAGGAAAGAAAGAAAAACGCCCGGCAATAGCACCGCAAGACCAGGATCCAAACTCGGGCTTAGAACCTCAAATCCTCCTCACGCAGAACCCCATCGAAATCCAAAAGCGTACCATTCCCCCCCTCACCCCCCGCATAGATACCAGGCCAATGCTGTCCATCCAACGAAGGGTCACCGGGCATCATCTCAGTCGCGCCGCCAAACTGCATCTCCTCCGCAACACCAGCATTGAAAACCTCGAGTGCGTCGTCAATGCCGCATTCTGCTACGCCGACGCCTGGGGCATTCGTGGTCCATGTACCTCCATCACGTCCGAAGGAGTTCGGGTCGTTTGCGAGGTTGTAGGCGGCGGCATGATGATTCCCGGTTTGCATGGGGGAATACGGCTGCGGCTGGTAGTTGCCACTGTCCAGGTGGTTGTCGTAGGAGTTCAGTTGGGCTGGACCAACCACCCCGTCGTCCCAGGCATTCAAGCTCTGCGCGCCAAGTGCACGTTCGTTGAACGCGTTCGGGGCATTGATGTCCAAGCCTAGTTCTGCTGCAGTCGACTCGATCTCGGCCTGGAGAGTTGCGGTGGGATCACGCAGCTCGGTGTCCATTGTTCCTCCAACGCCCTGGTGAGCTGAAGCTCGGCCGCCGTTTACCAGGTACTCTGTAAGATGAGGGATGTGGAAGCCGGCCACGGGCACCATGTTGGCGTTGTTGGGCTCGGGTGCAGGCGGGGCTGGGTCTTCCGGCACGGGCGAAAGCGTCCGCAGGCGCGTCGGCATCCCGACTGATGTTGAGCGCCTTGTGCGGTCCTCTGGTGCAGGCGTGGGTGTCCCCAAGCGCAGGGGCATCGGCATCTCAACTGGTGGTTCGCGAAGGCTGCGGTTGTGAGATTCGGTAGCCGTGTTGCCATTGTTAGGCTCGGGTGCAGTTGTCACTTGTGTTTCTGGCATCGGTGCGAGGGTACGCCAGCGACGTGGCACCTGGATTCCGCCGGTATTCTGAGGCTCGGGAATTATGCTGTCATTGCTACGCTCGGGTGCAGGCAAGACTGATGTGTCCGGCATTGGCAAGAGTGTCCGAAAGCGCCGTGACATCTCTCCCGATGTTTCGCGCGCGCTTGGGTCCTGAATCTCGGTGACCATGTTGCCATTGCTGTGCTCGGGTGCAGTTGTCACCTGTGGTCCTGGCGCCGGCGCGAGCCTGCGCCAGCGGCGTGGCACCTGGCTTTCGTGGGTAATGATGTTCTCGCGCTGGCTGGGGACGAAATCAGGCTCGTTGTTGGATAAGGTCGCCGGGCGCTGAGCCTCCTGTTCTGCACGTTCAAGGCGCCGGCGTGCCGTGGTAGCCCTGGTGGAGCGGCCCAAAGACGCTGTGTTTAGAGGATTGTTTGAAGCCATGAGGACTGGGTTCCGTAGCGGACGATCTGTTAATACGTTGAAGGGGCCGGATAACGCGTTGGGGAAAGGGTTTAGGACGAGGACTCCTACCTGGAAATGGGGATTCTATGATTGAGGTGCTGAGGAAAGGTTGTGGGAGTAAAGGAAGCTGAGCTGGAGAAGAAAGGAGATTGGATGGTAGGTGTTGCCATTTCGAGGCCGACGGGCATTTGCAGTTTTTAATGATTTAGGGCAAGGAGTGCTGGAGGACCTGGTCCATCGATCATTCACTGCGCTCTCCTGTCAGGAGCCTGGGAGCTCTGGTCACTGGTCCATTCACTTGGAACCATCTGTGCCTGAATCCGTGCCTGAGACCAAACTCCCGAACTTCAGACACGCTCCGATCAGTAAGCTCCCATGCTCTAACTCGTCCTCCTCAAATCTTCGAGTCCGGTGGTACCCATAAGCGCACGCCCATGCATGCCTCTAACGAGTATGTGTTTGGGCGACATGTCCAAATTAAACATTTCAGGTCCTTGCTGTTTAGTCGCGGAATCCCGAGGCTGTTAATAAGTTGAATTGGATCTGATTAGGTGCCTTTCTAGCTCGTGGTTCAATTTACATATACTTTACATACAGCAAGCTCGCGCAGTGCAAAGGACCGCGATGACCAGGGTAGGGTTGCCTATCGTTACCTAGTAAACTGCTACACTGTATAACCTTGTGCTAATGTTTCAACAAACGAAGTTGTATTGCTAGCTTCCGGTTGGAGAGAAATGAGCCTCTAGCACTAATCTGCATTCTATCTGGCATCAAACCACCCCAGCTGCTGCATGATCAACTCTCGAAACAAGACAAGATCGGGGTCTATCTGCGCATCCTCTGATGCTGAAAGGCCTGGGCAAGTAGGAAAAGCAGGCAAACTTGGGGCCACCTACGTAATCTAGTTCGGGCCAGTAAAGGACGCAAGGTTGGCTAAACGACAATCACTTAATAGAAGCTTTACATACTAGGTAATCAAAAATCCCCAGACAGGCTAGGAACAATGTCTAACTCTCCCGAAGGAAAGCAGGAGAAGCCAGACCCGTACCCGGGGACAGTAGTCTACGCAGAATATATAGACCTAGTATCTGTCAATTCATGGTATAAAAGCCCAGGATGAGTCAACATGATCTTGAAGAGCTTAACACCTTTCCAGTATTAATAGCAGACTTTGCAGTCTGAGACTGCTGCTTTCGGTTGTCTGAAGCCAACAACTTGTATACCGACGACCCACATGTACCATCTGTCGTTAGGGATACGATGGACTACATAACATTCTTCGGCTTTGGGTGGCCGCATGCACGGCGGGGACTAGAAACAAAACCAACCCTGCTGTGCTGGCTTGGTGACCGAAACGCAATCGCACAAGCGCACGCAGGACGCAAACCATATGCAGTTACTCTTTAACCATAGCAATCTACCTCAAGCAACATCCATCAAAGCCTCCTAGCCCCCGGCTGCAGCACAGCCATCCGTCCATACCTCTCCGCCGTCCAAGCCCGCATCCTCTTCCCATACACAATCATCGGGACGATAGTCAGCGTCATCGCTGTTGCAATGCAAGCCACCGCAATGAACATGTTGATCAGGCCCGACGCCTCGATCCACGGCGTCAGGGCGAAGACGAAAACCGTCGCAAGGCCGTTGCGGACGAACGCGACGCCGACCAGCGCATCGCCGATTATCTAGGACTTGATCAGCGTGTACACGACAGTGGCTTTACAATACGGGCTGGCGTACCTCTTGGTAGCAGTCAGCGAGGTACGTAAGGGCACAGGCGCCGATGCAGAACATGGCGAAGCCGAATATGCCGCTGCCAAGGGCGAGGGACCACCACGGCCAGCCCTATAGACAGTAGCAGTTAGCGATCCATGGCCATCCTGCATCTTCAAGGCGTAATCTCACTCTAGCCAGCCCAATACCGAACACAAGCAGGCCTACCGGCGTTGCGAGAATAGCAGGTAGGCCCACATGCAATCTTGTCTCGGGCTCGAACAGCCCATTGTTTCGTTTGGCCCGCCATAGAACATACCAGTCGTTCACTGGGCCGCTGAGAACACCGCCTATCACACCACCGATGAACGGGGGTAAGTTGAACAGTCCGATCTGAGAAGAATTGTAGATGTAGGGTGGAAGCGCGAGGTAAGACGACTGGGTGGTTGCAATGATCGAAAACCAGGAGAGGAAGCAGCCCCAGACGAACGCCGTGAAGGTAACGGCGGGAAAGGAGACAAGGACCACCAGCGGGCGCTTGATGTTTTCGAAGATCGAGTTGTCTGTCTTCGTTATCAGCGCCAGGCGTTCCCTATATGACTTGCGCCTGTACGGGACCGCGCTCTCCTCGACGTTGGTCTGTATATTGGTGTCTGGCTTGGCCACAGCATGCTCATGAGGCTCGCCGACGAATGTAGGAATGTACTTGGTCTCCTCGAACGCGAAGACAAACAGCAGCGTATTGACGGCAAGCAGAATAGACGTCCACCACCAGATCCATCTCCAGCCCTGCGTAGTAGCACAGTACCCCGCCGCAACGGGGGCAAGATACGCGCCCATTTCTAGGGGTACCTTTAAATAAGGGCTCCAGGCGCTTTAAAACTATTATAAATATATATTTTTACTATTTTAATTTTATTTTTAACCTTTTTTTTCCCCTTTTACTACTCCCCGTAGTATAATAACTAAAACTAAAGTGTGTACCCTTAACTAGCTTACAGGCCTTAATTTAACTAACTTTACCTAGTTATAAGATTTTTTATCCCTTTTTAACTTTTATATTATAAAAAAATAAAAGAAAAAAGGGCCTTAATAAGCTTATTTTCCCCCTTTTATTATTAAAAATAATAACGTGTTAACTTTTTAACCTAGCCTGGTTATAAAGGCCCTTTATAATTAACTTAATAAGCAGGAATATTAAGCATGTATTAAATATAAAGTTTTTATAGGTTTTATAACTATTATTAATAGCTTTATAACTAGGTAAAAAACTTAAAATTAAAAAGCCTTTACTTATAATATTTATAATAAGTTTATATACTTTATTTTTTTAAAGGGCTACGCTAATACTAATAATATTAATTATATTTTTTTATAAGTATATAGTTAGCCTATTATTATAATAATTTTTAGTAAGATTATTACCTAGAGGAAAATAAATTTAACCCTTAAAAACTTAAGGGCTTAACCTACCCCTCCTGGAGTAAGTTTTTCCGCCCTAATTAATATTATTTTAGGCAAGGTGCCCTTATTAAGTACCTTAATAACTTAATTAGCATGTAATAGCTTTATTATAGCCTTAACTATGTAAGATAATTATAAAGTGCTAATTACTTTTTTTAATAATAAGCTAATAATATATTTTAAGGTGTATGCTATTTAGCAAGCCCTTATTAAATATATACTAGGACTAATTATAACCATGGTTATTTTTAAAATTAATACTACCTACACGGGCTAGGTTATTATTTTTAATAACCTTTTTATTAAAGATTTTTTAGTGGCTAAAAAAATAGTTAGTATAATTTATTATACCCTAAACACTATTAATATATATATTTTTTAAAAGTAATATAACTACGCGGTGCAGGAAGTGCCTAGTATTATTTTAGTATATAATAATAGTAAAATAAATACTACCAAGCTAATCTAGGATAAAGTTATGGCCTAAATAAAATTAAAGCTAGTTAGGCTTACTTTTTTAAAATACAGGCCTAATTTTAATACCAGGCGTACTACCTAGGTAGTATTTTTTTTAAAATAGCCTAAAACTTTTATACTATTTAATTAAAATAAGCGCTGCTAGCTTATTAAAAAATATTAACTAGTTTTTTAATATAACCCTAGCTACTAAAAATACTACCACCTGGCGTGCTATAATTATATAATATATTATATATAATATAGTATAATAGTTATAAACTACCTAGGTTTTATTAACCTAAATTATAAAAACCCTATATATTATATAAACTACCTAGGCCCCTAGCTAGCTAGTTATAATAATTATTTAGTAGCCTCCAGGCGTAAGAATAAAACCTTAGTTTGCTTATTTAAAAAAAAACTTAATAATATATGCTATTATAGCGCCTGCTAGTACTAAAATATATATACCTAGGTTAATACTAACGCCTAGCTTTAAGTAAAAACTAAAAAATTTTTATTTTAAAAAAACCCTTAAAAGCACGCCGCGAAGAAGCTAAAGGTAAATAAATAAGGCTTTATAATAATTATTAATTATTACACCCCGCGGTTTAACATTTTTATTAATAATTAAAACCTTAAGTAGCTTTTTATTAAATTAATTTAACTTATTTTAGCTAATACAGGCACACCTTCCTTGCCCTAGGTAATAAAGGTTAATATTAAAACCCTTTTTAAGCTTTAATATTAAAGCACTAAAAAAGGTACCACGGCAACTATTACTATAATAACACCTAATAATAATAGGATCTTACTATTTACTAGGTAAATATAAATAAATTTATACTTAGTTATATTATAATCTTATAACTAGCTTATAAGTAAGGCTATAATATTACTTATATTTAAAAGCCCTAAATTACTATAAATATAAAAACCTAAAACTATTTAATATATAAGTATTACACGCTAGTAAATACCTAAAATAATTATAAGAACTAGCTAAAAAAGCGCCCTAAAGTACTTACCTATATTTATAAAAGGGGAGTATTATATACTAAATAATACTACCTAGTATAAAGCTAGGATATACTATAGCTTATAATAAATAATATTAAGGTTTTAAATATATATTAAAAATTAACTACTTATAAAATAATTAACTACCTGGTTACCTTAATCCCTATCCTAAACTATGTAATTAGCGGGGATTTTAATACTACCTATAATATCTTTAAGCCTGAAGTAAATAACCTACACCACGGTAGCAAGATTATTAAGTAAGTTAATAAAAATAATATTAATTATATTAATAAACTAGGTATAGCTATATATAAAACCAGCTATATTTTTAACTTAATTTTTTTAAATATTTTTTTTACTTACATGCTAGTAATGCCCAAGCTATATAATAACTTTAATTACTAAATTTTAGTTATTATAGTACCAGGGCGTGAAAAAAAAATACTAAAATAATATTATTATAGTATACTAAACCATAAGTTAAAATACCTTATTAAATTTATTAAAAATAAAATAATATTCCTGCCCTAACTTAAAAAGCTTAAAAATATAAAAATACTAGATTAATATACTAAGTTTTTTAATAATATTATTATAAAAATTATATAGGCTATAGGTAGACACCCTAACCCAGGAAGCTATAGTACTTCCTAGTAATTAAATAAGTACGTGAAAAACCACCGCGCCTGGGTGGTAAATCTTACCTTAAAGTAAAAAAAATAATTTTTAGCTATAGTCCGCAAGACCAAGCATGCGTACTAAATTAAAATAATTAATAATATTAAAAATAACTAAAAGCTATATTAAATAATAGCCTAATATAAATTAAAGCCTAGGCTTAAAGCTCCCCCGCTACTAGCTAATAATAAGATAATTAAAAACACGCGGGAAAAGGCTAATATTTTATAAAAGGTAGTGCTAGAGTAATTTAGCGTAAATAATAACTTAAATTTTAATTTCTTAGTATTAAAATACTAGCAAGGGAATAAGCACCTATACTAGCTAAAAAAAATTTTATTAAAAAAAGTTAAAAAAAATATTATTAGCATAAGTAGTACCTTTTTTAAAGCAAACTAGGTAATTATTTATATTTTAAAGGCTTGCTAAAAGTATATTAAGCAAGCTATTTATAGGTTATATAACTAATACTTATAACTAAAATACTTTCCCTTATTATAAAAGCTCGCGGAGGTAATAATACTTTTAAAAGGTAATAAAAAAAATAAATTTTTATTTTAATCCTGGCGCCCTATAGTGCTACTTTTAGTATTAAAAAAGGGATTTAAATAAATTATAGCTTATTATGTTACCTTTACTATACTAGTATAAGGTATACTAAGCCTATAATAATATAGTACTTTACCTAAATACTTAATTATAAATTTAGTGGCCTTTTTTACTTATAATATTAAAATAGCATTTTTATAAAATTAAAAGGTTATTATAATTATTATAAATATCCTGGGCGCTTTTAATACTGTTTTATTATAATACTTATTTTAATAAATAATAAAATAAGGCTAGCCCCGCGCGCTTCTAGCCTTAATTATAAGCTTTTTTAATAAATAAAATATAAAAGTATGCTTAAAATCTGCTATAATAATAATATATTTAGTATATTATAACACGCTGCAGGGCTTACCCCTATCCTTAGTGCTATTTTTATTATATATTATTAAATTACTACTAGTAAACCTAATTTTACGCTTTAATTATATAAATAATTTTTACTTTAGTTATGTAAGTAACTTCCTTTATACTAATTATAAATACTTAATAAAAAATATTTATAGCATGCTAGCTTAGGGAAAGTAAAATAAGGTGGCCTTTATACTTAAAAAGCTAAAAATACTATATATTACTTAAAAAAGGCACGGTAAATCTCCCTTGTTAATAGTTAATAACTAGCTAATAATTACTTTAGTTACCACGGCGCTAGGCTAGAAATAGCCTGTATTATATTAGCTAGGTATTTTTTTTAATAAGTAGCTTTTTTAATATTAATATATTATTAAGTAGGTAGCTAAAGCCCGCGTAGTAGCTTAATATATTTATAATTTAATATATATAATATATAGCCTGCCTGCAAACTTTTTTTATAAGGTAATTATTATTTATATTATTTTTAATTTTTTTATAGCATAAAGGCGTGGTATAAAGGTAAAACTAAGCTTAAAAAGCATGCATAAAATTTAAAAGTTAGTACCTAACTAGGCTAGTATATTAAAGTAATTAAAAAAATCCTAGTATTAGCTACTCGCGGTATACTTTTAGTTTTTTAAATAATACTTATAATAACTTTTTTTAAAAATGCTAGGCTTTTTTTTATAATAGTAATACTAAAAAAAGTATAATTATATTTTACCCTAAGGCTAAGGCTAGTTAATAGCTAAAACCTATTAGTAAAATATATAATATTACTAAAAATCTTGTAAGGCCAGGGCGCTAGCTTATAGTAAAAACCTAAAATAAAAATATAAATAATAAGGGCTTTTTTTTTAAAAATACCTAAGCTAGTTTTAGCGCACCCTTACTACTCCTAAAAATATTTAAAAAATCCCACCGGGGGCAAGGCTAAGAAACAGGCTATAAAAAAGTTTAGGTAGTAATACCAAGTGCTACCCTTGGCAAAAATAATAATTTTTAATAATAGCTTAAAATAAATATATTAAAAAGTACACCGCGTAGGCTATAGCTATATAATTTATTATAAATAGCGCCTTTAGGCACAGGGACTATTAATAATTAATACTTAATTTTATATTTATAATACTAAAGCTATTAATATACTTTAAAAACTAAAAGCTATAATTAAAAAGCTCCCGGGAGTACCTTATTACTAGCTTTATATTAATAATATTTTAATAATTTAATGCACGCGCGAACAGCCCTTACTATTTTTAAACTAGGTTTTTTAAATATTATACTAGCTTATAAACTAGTATATAATCTGCCTATAATAATCCCCTAGTTATATAAATATTAAAAAAAATAAGCTAGCTAACAAGCTAGCTAATAAAGCAGCCTTTATAAAAGCATAACCCTTAAATATTAATTTCCTAAAGGCATAACCTATAGCAAGTAAAGTACATAGCCTATATAAGTAAATATACCACGCCACCCAAGCTAAATAATAAAAAAGTGCCTTTATAAAACTATTTACCTAGTATAAGTAATAACTTATTATAAAGTTAAAGCTATACTAGGTTAAACCGCGGCCTAAGCTTGCGCTAAAGTACCTAATTTTATATTATTAGCTAGTACTAAAATTATTATATAATAACTTTAAATAGTACTATAAATATTTTTAGCATAAAAATATAAAGGTTACTTGCTTTTATAGGAGAAGCAAGAGCCCTAAATACCTAGTTTTTTATTATTACTTTTAATAATACTTTTAATAATAATCCTAGCGCCCTATAGCACCATTAATAATTAAGGCTAAGGCTATAAAATACCTCCGCGGACTAAAGCCTAAGAACTTTATGTTTTTATTAAAAATTATAAACTTTTACAAGTTTATTTACCCCTGCTAGGGCTTCCCGCGCCCTAGCATTATAAAAACTATTTAACTTAGTACTAAATATTCCTATTGTAGTGGGGTTGCACCCCAACATCAATTCCTGTAGTACTTATAGCCTTGCTACCGGCCTCCTGTACCTAGTCCATCATTCACCCCAATATATACGTTCTCTTTCCTACTGTTGTTCCCACCTGTCCTACGTACCGTCCAGTCCTAGGTTTCCGCCACCGTTTGGCTCCTTCAGCTCCCATGCTCTAGTACTGCCCCTCCACACTATCCTTTCCTATTTTACTATGTTTCTTTTTTTTCTTGTTTTAAATATCTTTTTTTAGCGTAACTAGCTTTAGCCCACGCGTTTTTTTTATAAATAAGGCTAGCTCCTGCATCTTATAGCGTTTAAATTACCAAGCGTGTAATAAATAACACCTGCCAGTGGCCACATGTTAAAATAATAAGTAAAAAACAGGCGCCTAGCCTATAAGCTTTAATAAAAGTTACCCTTTAAAATAAAAAGCCTCCTATACATAAACTATTTAAATAAATTACTTACCTAGTGGCGGCACGCCCCCATACCCCAAGGGAGGTCTAGAACAATAGGCGTACGCCTAGTAATCCCCAGGGCGTTAAATATCACTACTACTACTACAAGTGCCTCGCTCACGGCTCCAGCTAAGCCATTTACCGCATTGATAGCCAGCAGCTCAGCGGTCGTGTTCATCTTCGCCTGCCATATTGCCGTCGCGAGTTGGATGGCTGAGCTGAGGATGTAGATGCTGCGGCGACCGTATTTGATTGCGAAGGGGATGATTAGGATGCATCCGACTGCGAGACCCGCTAGGTTTGCGGCGAAGGAGTTGTTTAGATTGGACCAGCTGATTCCGAGCTCGGCGTTTAGGTCCACCCAGATTACGGTCCCGATGTCGAGGAGGACGAATGTCGCCAGGGTGTAGAAGCTGGCGAGGGCGAAGTTGAGGGCTTTTCGCCATTGAGGCCAGTTCTGGGGATTATGACATTAGTGTCTAGGGCCTCGGGAGCATTGATTGAGCAAGTTCTGCGTACCAACGGATCATTTGGGTCCTCCGTTGGGGTGGGCTTGAGCACGACAACTGCTTCCTGGCCTTGGTGTACTGCTCCATCAGTTCTTTGCACTGGAACATTCGACTGCCACTGATACTCACAGTCTTCAATTGTCACAGTTCCTGGAGGCTCAATATAGAGAGCCTGATCCTCCATTTTAACTTGCAACAAACAACCCTTGAAACCTTTCGCTGTTAGGGACTGGACAAGGGATATATAAGCCCATCACAGCTGATGCAAGGGATATCGTACTAAGGTTATCTTCTCCAATCCCCGGCTTGTTCTTATCGCAGCGGGCTATCAGGGCTAGGGTACTCCAACGACCATCTCAACTGGAGACGGCTCTGCTGTCCAATCAAGCGCCATTGAGAGCCGGAGGGTTGATAGCAAATGTCAATTCCCCGCATCCCATCGACACTTCCAACTCGCCAGAACCACGTGCTGGTAAACCATCGTCCTAATACGGGAGGAGATATGCGAGCCATAGCTGTCCAACGCCTCCAGCGATGTCAACATTCACGGGCCAGGTTGTGCCAATCAGGCAATGGTGACAACATAAGCCCGCCACTCATTGTCCGTATCTGAGTCGGAGAAGGGTGATTTGTTAGAGCTCTGTATCTTGGGCAGTTATGATTGTCCCAACAATAGCGTCTGCGGGAGCGATGATTAGCATCACGATGATCTGGGGTTCTCCATGCTCTTTATCAATCATTGCTTTAGCTGCCGCTAGCTTAATGTTTAAAGGCCGCGTGCAAATAAGTGTATAAGCTTCGTGGGATAGCTTGACCCTTGGCGCTGTGGTAGTAGTAGTAGTAGTAATATTTAACGCCCCGGGGATTGCTAGGCGTACGCTTATTATTTTAAACCTTTTTTAGGGTATAAGGGCGTGCTGCTACTAGGTAAGTAATTTATTTAAATAATTTATATATAAAAAGGCTTTTTATTTTAAAAAGTAACTTTTATTAAAGCTTATAGGCTAGGCGCCTATTTTTTATATATTATTTTTATATATAATTATTAATAAGTATTATTTATTATATATTTAAGGTTTTAGTTATAAAGGGTTATAGAAACCTATTTTATTATAAAAAAATATATTAACTAAAGCTAGTTATATTAAAAAAAGTGTTTAAAATAAAAAAAAATATATAATAAAATAAAAAAAAATTATTTAATATTAAGCTTAAAAATTTTAATAATACTAGGGCGCGGGGTGCCTTAATAAGGGTAAATAAATTTATAAAAGTTTATAATTTTAAATAATAATATAAAGCCCTTAGGCTTTAATTTATAAAAATATTTTAAGGCCTTAGCCTTAATTATTAATAATATTATAAAATATTAAGGCTATTATAAAAAGCGCTATTTAAAGTAATAATAAAAAATTAAATATTTAAAGCTTTTACTTATTTTATAAAAGTAAGTAAGCCTAGTATTTTTATATTAAAAATATTTATAATATTATTTAAAGTTATTATATAAAAACTTAAGCATAAGTTAGTAATATAAAATTAATTATTTTAATACTAGTTTTAATAATAGCTTAATTTAATAAGACTTTAATTTTATAATAAGTTATTACTTATATTATATAAATAACTTTATAAAAATACTTTTTTATTATTTAGCCTAGGTAATATAATATATTTATTTATAAAAGCTATATACTTTATTTATTATAAGCTATGCCTTTAAAAAGTTAGGCTTTAAAAATTAGGCCTTTATAAAAGCTATTTTATTAATAAGCTTATTAACTAGCTTATTACCTTTAATATTTATATAGCCAGGGGATTATTTTAAGTAAATTATATATTAATTTATAAGTTAGTATAATACTTAAAAAGCCTAATTAAAAAATAGCAAGGGCTACCTGTCAGGGCCAATATTTTTTTATTTAATGTTACCAGAGCTAATCCACCATTAGTCTAGAGTTAGCGCCTTAAGTAACCTAAGCTTTGGCCTTAGGCTGTTAAGGCTTGGTATATTTTATTATTATATTAAATTATATAACTTAACTAGGTTATTAATATTTAAAATTTTAATTATTAATTAAGTAAGGCTAGGGTAGGCCCTAAGTATAAGTTAAAGTAAAAATTTATATATAAAATATTTAAACTTATATTTATTTTTTAATTAAAAATAACTTAAGTATAACTTAAAAATTTATAAAAATAGCCTTAAAGCTAGTCTTTTTTTAAATTTTTAAGTAACTTTTTTAATATTATTTAATAAGGTTTAAAATACTTTATTTTTATTAATTAAATTTTTTTATTAATATTTTTATTATTAGTAAAAATTTTTAAAACTTATTAATTTTATAGTTAAAGTTACTTTTACCTACTACTTTTTAAACTTTTTTAATAATAATATTTTAAATTAAATTTTTAAAAAGTAAGTAAAGGTGGTCTGCAGGTATTTTAATTAAGGTTTTTAAAACCTAAACTTAAATAATTAAAAAAATATTTTTTTTTATTTATGCTTAAAAATTTTATTATTATTAAAAATAATTAAAAAAAAAACTTAACTTAAATAATTTAGTTTACTAGCTTAATAAAATATAAGGTAAAATATACCTTTTACCTTATTATTTTATATTACTATTAAAACCTATTAATTTAAAATTTATTATAATTAAAGCTATTTTAAAAGGGGAGTAGCCTAAAATTATAACTTTTAACTTATTTATTTTTTAACCTTAATATAATTAATATCACGTGTTAAAATTAAAATATTTTTTTAAAAAAAAATAAAAAAAAGTTACCCCTATAACCTAAAGCTAAAATAATATTAAATTATTAATTTTTATATTAATTTTTTTATTAATCCCCGTGCTAATTTTTTTATTAATATTTTTTATAAATTTTAAAAAAAAATTAATTTTAGCAATTTTTTTTAATTTTAGTTTAAAATTAAGCTTAAATAATTTAAGTTATTATTTTAAAATTACTTTACTTTTAAAACCTAGTGCTAGTAAAGCTGGCTTTAAAAAGTTTAAAAATTTTAAATATATAAAAAAAAGTACTAAAAGGTTATAAAAAATTATAAGCTTTATTATAAAAAAAACTTTTTAAAAGCTTAAAATTAAGTTTAAAAAGGTTAAAAGTTAAAAAAAAAATATAATAAAGCTTAAAATTTAATTTAAAAATTTAAAAAATTACTTTTATAACACCCCTAAAAGGTTTTAAATAAATAATAAAAAAATTATATTTATTATTTAAAATACTTTAAAAAATGCCTGTAATTATTAAAAAGGTTAAATTAAATTTTAAAATAATAAGTAAACCTAGGAAAATTTTAAAAAATTTATATATATATAAATTAACTTAGTAATAAACTAGGGCTATTATACTACCTAATATTTTTTAATTAAATAATAAAATATTTAAAATATTACTTTTTAAAAACTTTGCTTTATAAAATTAAGCCTGTACTTTAATAATTTAAGGTTTAAAATATAAATATTTATTAAAATTTATAATAAAAATATTTACTTATACTTAAAAAAGTTAAAAACCCCCTTAAAAACTATGCTTAAAGTAAATATAGTAATAATTTATATAAAATTTATTATTAAGTATAATAAGGCCTTAAAAACTAAAAAAAAAAGTCCGGAGCTAGTTCTAATTTTAAAAATAAAAAAAATAAAAATAACTTAAAATAAAACTAAAATAATAGTAAAGTAGCTTTTTTAAAAAAAAAAAAAAGGTAAAAAAAAGCAGTAACTTACTTTTTTTAAAAAAAAAAAGTATTATAAAAAAAAGGCCTTTATTTTAACTATAGTAAATTAAGCTACTTATTAAAGGCTTGTTTAAATAAAAAAAAAGCTAAAAAAAAACTAGTAAAAAATAAATAATAATCCCCTAGTTTTAAGTTATTAAAGTTATATAATTTAAAAAAAAAATTACTTTTTTTATTCTTGCAAATCTTAGGGTATAAAAAAATAAAATAAATTAATAATTTAAAGCACTATTTAATACTAAAACTAATATTAATTTTATTTTAATTTAATATTTATAAAAGCAAGAAATTAAAATAAATATTAATTATATAATATAGCTAGTTTAATATATTAATAACACCTTTACTTTTTATTATAGGTGTTTATAAGCCCGTACTTAGGTTTATAATTTAAAAAAAGTTATAAAAATATTTAATTTAATATATTATATTATTAATTTTATTTATAAAAATTATTAAGCAGTTTTAGGATATTTTTAAATAATTAAAGTAAATTTAAACCTTTACCTTATTATAATAAAATAAACTTAGTAAAACCATATACCTTTTATTAAAATTAAAATATTATAAAAGTTTATAAAAACTATATATAAGAAACTAGTATTTATAATATTTTATTAATTAAAAAAAATTAAAAAAAAAGTAAAGGTGGTTTTACTACCCTAGTATATTTATTAAAGTAAAGTTTTTTTTAAATAAAAAGCTACTTAACTTTTAATTACTAAAGTAAAACATAAAATTTTATTAAAAAAAGGTAAAAAACCTTTATAAGGTTTTATTTATAGCCTTTTTTAATATAAGTTATAAATATTAAAAAAGTATTTTAATAAAATACTTAAAAAAAATAAATTAAATTATTTTAAAGTAGCGCTAAAGCGCTAGTACTTTTTATTTAAAAATTTAATAAATTTTTATATTTTTATATTAACTATCACGATTTATATATATTAACTAATAAAAATTATTATTTATTACTATATATTAATAAGCTAATAAATTAGCTAGTAAATATAAAATATTTTATTAAGCTAGATTTATATAACATGTATTATAAAATATAAATTAAAAGGGGAAATAAATAAAAAATAATGTTTTAAACTTATTATAGTTACTATAAGTATATAATTATACCTTTTAGCTTAATAAATATACTAGCTATATTTTAATTTTATATAAATATAATTATAAGGAGGATTTTTAATAAGTTTTATATTATTTACCTTAATAATATTCTTATTTTTTTAAAAATAAAAAAGAAACATGTGTATTATATTTAAAAAGTTTTTAATTAATTAAAAAGGTATAATTTATATATAAAATTATTAAAATGCAGTTTTTATAAAAAAAAGGTAAAGTTTTTAAGCTTTATTATTAAATAAAAAGAAATATTTATTAATCCGGACCGCAGCCAAACTATT